CAAGAAATAATCCGCTTTTTAGTCTCTCATTGGCAATTTAAATAGTATCATATCGTTAAACAAGAAATGTATGCAATAATAATTATTCAATAAATATCCTATGGTGACACAGATGAAAATAGATGATCAGAATGTTTTGCATCTCATTATCATAACCTGTAAATGCTTAAATTCGTTGCTCTATCCTTCAATATAAACGAATACCCACGTATTAAAGCATTTATAAAACATGCATGATGCTTTCAAAGTATCAGTTGCACTGGACAACTTACCCAAGATTGACACTATATTCGCTCATGGTAATTTTACAACGCACTACTATATTACTTGGAAAGCTCACTCGTTTTTAATTCACCGTGTTCTCTCTCCCTTAGGCAACAAACTGCTCGTAGGATCAGCAGGTTCTTTAATGGTATATCAAGTGAAAGACCCAACAGGTATGTTCTTATTCAGGCACGGCTTATATCGATCACCACTGTTGACTCGTGATTGGACAACTTTCGCCTTGTTATGTAGGAGACGATCCGTTAGAGGTTACCCTAATCGAGACACACAAGACTTTCTCAAGGCGTTCCATTGATCAATTAGATATCATTAAAGAAAGCAATGTCTTGGTCTCGCTTGCAGGTGACAAACCCGAAAGTTTGCTAGAACCTTGTAGTTGAATTGCGCAAACTCGGCATTACTGACTCGCATACCAACTATCACATGTGTTCAGACGGAAGCATCAGCTTGTTTGATCTAAAAACTTTTGAACTACAAGAGCAACTGTCAAGAACTCGAGGAGCTAACATTTTTGCGGTTGATACACAAATAGAAGAGGAAGGCGTCGTCCCTGTAATTGTGACGCGTCTTGCTGTGGGAGTAAGAAAAAAATTAGTAGTTTTCATTTGGCGGGATGCAGTTCTCTATAACACAAAAGTAAGGAGTTTATCAAACAAAGTTTAGGATTGCGTCTTTACTTATCTAATGCGTACGTAGACTGAGTTGTTGAATGACGGACTAAACTATCTGTTCGTTTTTGGTTTGATTGGGCAAACTCTAGGAAATATCAATACCAGACAGAGTGCGCACGATGGTATGGGTTGGCCTTAACAAGCTTTGTCTAGGATTCCCCAGCGAATATGCATTACTGGACATTGAATCTGAAGTGCTGCATGAATTGTTCGCTACAACCAGTTCGCCAACTGCTGGTGCATTTACTTCCTACGGCATTGGATATATGGGCATGTCCATTGCAGGGAGAGCCAGTAAGCCGTTGATTACTAAGCTGCCAAATAACGAGATTCTTTTAGCAAAAGACAGTGCGTATATTTGAACAACAGTTATTCAAAAGAGGATCGCTCATGGTACCTTTGGTGGGTCGCTCCGGATTATCGAGATCTTCTCAATTACTTTAATCTTGTTGCCGTGAATCTGATATGTATAACAAGGGGAAGACGAGTATTATATACCTTCGTATTATAGAACTACATCTACCAATTCGTTCTCGTTTCTTTTTGACAGTAAAAGCTTATTACTTAGTAATCGATGTGAAAGAGAAGAGATATCGATGATTTGGTCTAAGGACTCATCAAACTTACTACGAGTTGAAAATCACGTTGAAAATATATTGATTTGATTATTCTAAATGTTCAACGAAGATGTCAGCATATTTGTCGAAACTGACGGAAAACCAACCCGCGAAACAGGAATAGATTGGTCAGGAGCTCCGGAAGAAATAGGTACCGCGTATACGTCTATAAAAAAAGTTTGAATTATAGTTTGTGAACTATTCAGCTCATTCAGCTATATTTTAAGGGTATTCGTATCCATACTTAATTGCAATACTCCCAAAGCATGTGGAGGTTCGGAACATCCTCACTCAGACATTGGTACAGACCATTGAGCTGCTTCATGCTCGATTCATTAATGCTGGAAAATACTTGTATATTGCTAGCCATAGCACTGTGTGGCGGTTTATTCCGTATAACTTCGAGAAGCAGGCAAGGAATGAACCTGTAGCCCAGTTTTTTGAAGCAGAAATCCAACGGTATTGTTTACAGTAAATATTCTCGTTCCACTAGATTGACCAATTAGTTGAGCAGATGGAATATGTTGAAGCCATCAGTTTGACTATGCAAATTGACACAATATATTTACAGGACAAGGTAAATTGCTTTCCTTGAGTGGTGCAAGCTTTGCTAGGGGGCAGGTTTGCTCCTTTTTTCCTCACGATAACTTGGATTTTGTACTTTTCCAATGTATCGTCTTGTAGGAGGCTAAGTTGAAGTATATAAGAAACCTTCATGGCCATAATCTTTTCCGACAGCACAAGTTTGAAGAAGCGATATCTATATTTATCGACCTTGAGGCAGATCCTAAAGAGATCGTTGCGTTATATCCTCCGGCCATTTCTGCGTCTCTTCGTTCTGATAGTAGTCATAACAAGAAATTACACCTGAACGGCTCTGCGAATAAATTAACGACTGACGGTGTGAGCGAGGAACATGATCAAGAAACCGAAACGGTGTCTGATTCGGAAACAATCATAAAGAACGACAGCAAATTAGGTACGTGATTAATTTGCCAAATTTATATTGTCTATGAAAAGACTTGTAACGATTGTCATACTTGGATTTTGCTAGAGGGCAAAGATTTGGAAGAGGCAATAAAACAACTTATACGTTTCCTGACTGACCGACGAGCGAAGGTGCACAAACTACTCTTACAGCGTCAATTATCGAAATCAACTACCAAGGAAAATGAGGATCATTTAATAGAACTCGCCGAATTTGTGGAGACATCTCTATTAAAGGCATACATGAATTCTAACGATTCCCTCGTGGGATCATTAGTTCGCGTCAAGAATTTTTGTAACGTAGAAGAGACGGAGAAATTGTTGTCTGAACGTAAAGTAAGTCAATAATTACTTGTTGCGGCACGCATCAAGAACTATATTATTTAAATTCAATTCCGATAGAAATATCGCGAGTTGGTAGAATTTTACCACGAAAAGGGTCTTTATCGGAAATCCTTGGAACTGTTAAAAAGGTTAAGGCGTTTGTATTATTGGTAAGCCTTGGTCTATTAAATATTCATCAAGTATTTTTGTTATTACAGACTTGGCGAATCTACCGAAGGACCAATGAATGGCACATTTCAGACAATACAATATCTTCAAAAACTCGGCTCTGATCATTTTGATTTAATTTTGGAGTTTGCCACATGGGTATTGAAAGCCGACCCAGTCGATGGCATGGAGGTGACGTAATAAGCTTGCCATTTACAGAACATTACATGCTGTTACTGACTCGTTCTCACGCATATAGATATTCATCGGCGATCACCCTAAAGTGGAGACATTGCCACGAAGCAAAGTATTAGATTATCTTGAAAAGTTTTCGCCAGATTTATGTATCACATATATTGGCCATATTATTCATGAACTTGGTGACAAACATCCCGATCATCATAATCGGCTAATATATGCATATTTGAAAAAGTTGCAGGATTTGAAACAAGAGGGTATGTTATTGTTAGAGCTTGCTACAAGCGACCGAAACCATCTAACAACAATTGTTTAGGTGCTGAACCCGTAATCGTTGAAGAGGCGAACAAGAATTTCTTACAATTCCTGGAAGAATCTTCGTACTATATAGCAGAAAAAATTCTAGGACATTTACCCATGGATGGTATGCATACTGTTAATGTCTTGATGAATCTGCTGAAATTTCGCTAAAGTTTTTGTCACACGCTAGATTACTATGAGGCGAGGGCGATACTTTTGAGTAGACTTGGTCAACACGATCAAGCATTAAATATTTATGTGCACAAGTTGAAAGATGAACAATTAGCTGAAGAGTATGTTGATAAGCATTCGATACAAAACCATGTTTATTTCAAATGATTAAACAAACGATTTGCTTGTTATACTTTGTAGATACTGTTTGAAGATCTACAATGAAGCTGATGAGAAGGCTAAGAATGTTTTCTTGTCTTTGTTGCGTGTCTATCTGCGACCAAAAAGCGGGGAACCAGTAATGATAGAGCCAGCAATACGTTTACTTTCCCGACATGGAGCTCATGTTGATGCATCCAAGGTATCATTCTTCAATTTTGGCATGCGTTATTATTCTGCAAACCTTATTACAGCGATTAACTGAACACTAATTTCGTAACCGAACAAGGCTTTGGACATGTTGCCACCTTCAATAGAAGTTGCTCAACTTTATAAATTCGTTGAGAAGTATATAAGAGAGAGCAATCGCAATCGCTGCATAAATATTATTGTCAAAAACTTGCTAAAGGCCGATCAATATCAGGTACCATTTATAGTATTCCAATATGTTTTCAAACAGTTTACTCACCCTGATTTGGCGTATAGGTACAAGAACAGTTATTGTTCTACCGATCGCGCCGAGTAAAAATCGATGATGATCGCATGTGTCCTCAGTGTACCAGACGAATTGCACACAGGTAGCTATAATATATTTATTATTGACGAAGCAAGCTCTTCTGTATGACATCAAATTAAACATTTATCTTTTTAAGTGTGTTTGCCGTTTTTCCGAATGGAGTGGTGGTTCATTATCATTGTAAAGACAAGGTAGGAACGTGGGCTATTTATTATCATAAATATGTTTAGACAGGTCGCTCATGAAAATATTTTCTATCTGTCCAGTATTCGCAAGCTCACGACACTGCAGCATAAAAATCTTCAACCCGCGCAGGTGAGTTCACAGTGTTCATCTTATATTTATTCATGAATTGCTTCATTTTCTACTTGATTTGTCGGTTGGGATCATCAAGCGGGAAGACTTGGATAGAGAGTATTATGTGAATAAACAGTTGTATTTATTGTTAAATAAACATAGGAACAGAAATGATATAATATGCAAACCACCAGTGATTGAAGTGATTGAGATTATTATTTATCGGGGTTGACTAATTTGGACCATACTACTATGCGCAAATCATGGAAAACTTTCTGCTCTACATCTGTGTTCTTGAATCTAGCAAGGATTTGTTTTTTTAACAGAGATGAATGTCTTGAGCAGACCACAAATACTCGTTTCTCTCAATGTTAACGAGATTGTCTTGTTTCTCAATCCAAAATAGTCCCAGATCGTGATTCATCTTCACGTCAGCGTAAAGCTTCTAAGCTGACGAGCAGGAATTAATTGTGAACCTTTCCTTTGATCTATCGTTTATGAAAATAGTATAGCGCAGAAAGTTCTTCCGCTGCATCTCTAGCATCGAAAAGTCTTCAATCTTTACAACACACGTAATTTAAATACCTCCATTATGATTCACGGAAAGGGCTATCGTATGCCCCTATGTATTCATCTTGATTATTGTAAGATGGTAAAAATGAACAAGCAATGAACATATTCATCATTGACCGCTTCCGTAATTGAAATTGTGCTCTTTCCCACTGTCAAACAGCGAGGTTTTCCTTGTATTGACAACTAATTTACAGTTTTCCGATACTTTTTCCATCCATATTTCTAGTCGTAAACGTAACAGAGTTTTATTTTAGAAGGACAAGAGCTGTCTTTACAACGAATCAAATTTCAACACACGGGCCATATTAACGGATCACTGGTGATGATGGAGGAATTGATATATATGCATCATTTCTATTCTTATTCAATGTAAATGTTTCAAAAAGAAGTTTCAGTAGACAATTAAAGGGAACATTACCGAATAATCAATTAGGATGTATTATATCAAAGAATGAAAATCAGCAATTCTACATGCCGAAAACGAATCTAATATTATTCTAGCTTCTGAAAATGATGCTTGTAGTAAAATTAGAAACTATTATAATAATAATAACAACAAGAGATTTCTAACTCAGAAATTTCTTTAGATAATGAAGAGTTTAAATTATACAATTTCATTACTATATCTGGAAAAGGAAAATCAACAATCAGAATTGGAAAATTAACTTTTTATAAGTAACAATATAAAAATTATTTATTTAATAAAAGAGATATTAAGATTATAAATAATTATATATAAAAAAATATTAAAAAGAAACACATCTTCATATTCTCTCGCCGTAAAAGTTCCTTTTGCAACACCACGTCCCTCTGTATTCTCATAATCTCATTTTTTAATTCCCTATTTTCCCGTTCCATTTCTTCTCTCCACCCTTGTATTTCTTCCCTTATATTTCCTTCCATTCTCCTTACAGCCAAATCAATCTCTTCCCTCGTTCCCCAAACCCCGTTATTGTTAGAGCTATCATTATCGAGTGGACAAGACTCGATAAAATTAATCAAATCCGAATATATATTTAATTCATCCGTTAGGATGATGTTATATTATATTCGGACGATTTTTGCTCTATCTTTTGCGTTATTAGTAAAAATATCTTTGCGTCATAATTATAGATCTATATTCGGATCGAGCTATCAAGATAGCGATAGTTTTCTTTTTATCGTATCTTGATAAAGCTCCTTCAAATGCGATTATATCATCGACCCTAACCCTCAATCCACCCTATATTGGTGAATACTGTCCTATTATCGTACGTTGTCTATAACCTCCCATTCAAGTCAATTCCACCATCACCAGGTTCATGTCTATAAAAAGATTTCAAAAAAAATGAACATGTGTTTCATCATTATCAAGATATATCATCTGGCGGAGCAACGGTATAATATATCATGTATCCTATTCACCACAATTCTGGCAGAGCAACGGCAACTTTTCGGTAACGGAGATTTGAACGTTCACAGCAGGCCGTCCACCGTACGCCAGGCTGGGTACCTGACTGGCGACTTTCGCAAGCTGCGGCCACGAAGCGCTTTCAAATTTCTCCGATTTACACCTAGTGGCAGCGTAACTTCAGATACATAATAACTCAACAAATACTCAATGAGAATTCTCACCTATAACGTCGAGCCTCAACACCTCTTCTCCTCAACATCACTCTCACTTCATCTGCGAATGGATCCATCTTGTATAAATTGATATCTAAAAAAAGGGTGATAATAACTAACGTTTTGTGTTACCGAAAAAGTTAAAATCAAGCTAAACGGCCTAAATTGTTTAAAAAACCAATTCCACATAATAAATATACACATTTACATTCTTTTGCCGTATTCTGTGGCTTCTTAGAACTCGGGACATCCCACCAATTCTTGGCATGCCGTAAATAAAAAAATTTTCTCGTATTGAAGTTGGTTGCATGTCGTTTATTTTATACGTTTTGTAGTGGGTGACAGTTCTCGGAATATACTGCTATTTACAAAACGGTAGCGTACTAAACGTTTAGTGTATAATATGTAACAATAATAACAAATAAAATGACTTCATACCTTGAACGTTATCGTTAAAGTTCAAACTGAAAACGTCAAAATGTAGATGATACAGTTGACCGAACTGCCCGACTGAAGAGTTTTCACCCGAGTTCGCTATTACCAGAGATTCGTTATATCCAGAGTTATTAATTATAAAAAATCGGTTCTGGCAATTTTGGTTCGTTATATCCAGAATTCGGTATAATAATAAACAGGTTCGGTACAAACTTGAGATTGAGATTAATATAAAGATTAGAGTTACACAAATTGTGTTGCGTAATCTACACAAGCCAATTACAAGTGAAACTCGATAAAGTTTTTTTGATTTCCCCAAAATTTTATTAGCCTAAATACTAAGCCGAAATTAGTAAAACCGACTATCTCGATATACCGAAGTAATCACGTGATTTTATCTTGAAAAGAATTGTCTGCGCTAATAGTATTAGTATTAGTATGTCTGATTTCGATCATGCGATTTAAGAACATGCCATTGTAATGTCATAAACAATCGCTTGATTGTTCATAGGCCATTCTCGAACGATCTTCATGCATCCATTTCGCGCGTGGAACGATCGTGGAGAAAGTTCAACAAGTGGCTCTTCAAATGTTACGTTATTTTTAAACGATTCAAGAAATAAAACTGTAAAGAAAAAAGTAAACCGAAAGACGCTGACTGGCCTTGAAAAACAATCTCTTTGTATTAATCCTTTTCTTCTGTATATTACTCAAGATTGTGATAGTGAGCTTCAAGTTGATACTGCCTTCTTATCTAATCGAAAAAAGTTAAAGAGAACGATTGAGACTAAACAACAGAATGTGTTACAGCAAACGAGTATTCTTGCATTTTATCATTAATAAAGTTTATATATAGTGTTGTTATAAGCCGAAAGCTTGTGTAAACTATATCTTATTGCGAAATTTGATAAAACGAAAATCTCGATAAGCCGAATAAATTGTCCCTCCCCGCGACCTTCGGCTTATCGAGTTTCACTTGTATAAATCAAACTCGCTTAACAATATTTGTCTGCGGAAATTATTGTATGTATAATGAATTCTTTTCTCTCCTATTTAGTCATCTAAAAAGATGAAATCTCTGACATTGTCTCAGTAGACGGCAAAGACTACTTACATAAGAGAGAAAGCCCCAATAGGGAGACCACGTTCATATTCCCTTCCTGATGCTCTGAAGGATTCAGATTCAGATGAAATAGTCAATCAAGCCAATACCAGCAGAATGAAGCCGAAGTAACATTGCCAAGTTTAGTCAAAATAAAAAAATTAACCCAAAGCAGAAGACAACCCATATGCCTCACTTTTGCTCACCGTGAAGTCATTCGCTTTTGATACACCGAATTTAAGGAAGTTTTGTTAATACTGTCACATCCATTACGAATGAATACCAGTAGTAGTGAAGCTGAAGTAAGTTACCAAGTTTTCTCAAGAAAAAATATTACTCAAAATATTCTTTGCTGTAAAGATAGCTCAGAGTTTGGAATTAAGCCTACAATGTGGCTAGTAGATGATCATATAGATCGCATAAAAATATTATTGGGTACATGTGTTCAATGTTTATCTAAGTGCAAACAAAAACATATAATTAGAAAAATTTACCAGAGTCAATTAGATAACAGTTCGTCTGAACATCAAAATATACAAACCAATATGCCATCCGATATCGAAAATCCAACAGATAACATTGAATATAATAGAGAAATCCACATTGATCAATTATCTCAACTAGTTGGCAAATTGACAGACGAAAATAATAATTTATCAGAATTCGAATTAAACATTACCTTCAATGTCCAGGATGAAAATAATTCGATTTCTCAAATTGCTGAAAAAATCTGAGACGAATTTGCAGAGGGTGATGGATACAAATGGAAGTAAGTGTCACATGTTTCTTCGATTCTAGTTGTAAGAACAAAATGTTAATACATATTTAATAGCAATTGGAAGACAAATCCTTCTGTCCATGATCCAAGAAGTATTGCTACAATCTATTATCACTGCAGTCAGTCAAGTGTCCTTGACAATTTTAAGATACAAACAGAAAAAGAATCAAATGCTACGAATGTAAAGGACAACTGATCATTAGAGTCAATATGAGAAATGCGCATGCTCGGGTACAGATGAAGCACATGCTATATCACGAAAGGCCCGATCTGTCAACCGGAGTGTCAAACGAAATAATCAGCAAAATTCGAAACAATTGTCATCTAGATCCGTTGCAGCTATGTACCCACTTAGCATCCCGCTTTGATATAAAAGATGTGGCAACAAAGCAGATCTACTACTGGGGGAGCAATTCCGTGCAATTGAAGTATCAAAGACATGAAGATCCAATTCAGTCTGCAATTCTTCTTCTATGGGAATATCAACTTCGGGAATGTTGTCTTCT